TCTCCATAACTTGTTGCAGGAATATCTGTATCTTGTGTTTCAGTATGGATCTGCGTGTGAAGAGATAGCATTACCTTTTTGCCAGTTTTCTTCCTTCTGAAAGCCCTTCAACTCTGGACAACTTCAAATAACCAGAAGCGAAAGAAAATAAATACCAAGAATTTATCTCATTCCTCTGAGGCTACCTAGAAGTAAATGATAATAAAATGACGATTTTACGCTTCAGTTTCTGTTCCTCCGAGAATTGCTACAAGGTAGCACTGTTGTTGCTTTTGTTGGTATTTTAACATGTACAATTAAGACCACAAGAATATAAAACGTAAAGAGGGTTGATTGCTTATTTATTGACAACAAAAGGCTCACACCGATATTATTCGAAGTTTCTCTCTGTTATACCGCGAAAAGATTCGATCGATACATTACACGCTCCTCATTAAAATGTTATTAATTATGTGCTTTTGAATGAGGAAGTAAATAAAGTTTTTTTTTTTTGACATATGACAAATGGAGAAACCTTTTTGAATGGATTAAGTTCCATTTCTCAACCGCCACTCTCAGGGGAAAAATTCTGAAACAGTAATGAAAATCAGCAGCATGATTACCATGAAAACCAGCAACAAGATTTGCTTTGAACACCGATGGTGCCATTAGCACTGACACTGACAATAACAGTGACACTTTCGCTCTTATTTTCTCTGCAGGTCTTTGGAGACGGGTTTTCTGACAAAGAAAGTTCTAGGAAGCAAATATTTATTCAAAATAACTCACCCTCACAGTTACCAGGGTGCTGTACAGTGTAGTTAAGTCGAAGAATACACATTTCCTGTTGAAACAGACATACACTGTCATATGTTGTGTAGAGAGCCAGTGTCTCTACTGCGTGATCAAGGACAACTGAATATTTTGATATGCGTTGAACTGTATTATTATTCCATGTAAATTGGCAAACAAACTTCCATCACGCCGAGCGAATGAACTAGAACGAACAAATAAACTAGCTAACCAACGATTAACCAACGAACGATTCACTGAAATTAGGAAATAATACAGCGAACAAAGAAACTAACAAACAAAATAGATAGATATACGATGTACTTATAAGTTTTTCGTGCCTAGATCATGGAGAAACCGAATAAGCTCGAAAACACAAATGAAAAAAATAATGCCATGTGCTTTTATCAAACGCAACATCTCAAAATGCAGAAAACAGACAACGAGACCAGCGGCTTAGTGTATTAAGCTGTCCCAAAGTGTTCTACTTGAAGCCAACATGTTGAACCGTTTGATGAGCAGAAAGGTTC